CACTTTAAGACAGCATATCATCTGGCATATGTCATGCCAAAGTTTTAGACTAAGTTATTCCCACTTTTGTCAAATCTCCTATTTGACATGTACAATCTCATGTGGTATTGCGAGATGTGTTGTTGCTCAAGTATGGGTTGTGGATGACTCTGTTATTACCACATCCTATTTTAGCTTATTACCAGTAAAACTGTCTTGGTTTTAGCCAGTTTTGCTTTTTATTTGCCCGTTGAAGGTGTCCGTACTTCCATAAACTTTTCTTTCTGATCTGCTATGAAACTTGATACATGTGCATTATCACTAGACAGCGTGTTGCACTATTTATCACCTCAGCTCCAAGGTCACAAATCAAGGTCAAATGTTATACAAGGTATTTGTTTGTCCAGATCATACATTGCTGTATAATAGTTTGTTGATGGGTGTATATTGTGCCATAAACTGTACTCTTGTTGCTAAGGTGGATTTGCTGTGGCAGCCATCTAGAAATGGGTTGATTTCAAAAGTTAGGCAGTTGTAGATATACATCCGTTGATTATGTCCTGGGATTTTCATTGAAATCTGACTAACTGGTTCAATAAATATGTTGGTAATGGCACGTGCACACACACACAGACATGGACAAAAACATAAAGATGATGATGAATGCTGCAAATCATGCCACAGTGTTTATCAGTGTTTATAAGGATGTATATGGTTGCCTTTTATTTAACCACCATTTTGGCTTTAACATAAAGTTTTTATTAATTGTTTGTGAACAAAAAAACAGATAATTAATTATCCAGTTAAGCCTTCATGTTTATAATATTTAGATGATACAATATATTAATTAAATTAGCAAAGGGTGTACACCGCCTCTCTCACAGTGATGGCTGGATACATGCACCAGTGACCCCCATGACATGAAATGGAAGAAGCGGGTAAAGATAATGGATGGATGGATGGATGTAAACTATGAAAAATTAATTATTTTGCTGTTAGAACTGGAAGTTTAATCAAAAGAAGGGGTATTTGGAATAGTTAGATGCTGTACTTTAAAATTGCATGGCTGCATTCTTTACTGAATACAATATCAATATTCCTTAAACTGCCACTCCTGTTTTTATTTGAATAATTTCCATTCTGTAACATAACTAAAATTAGCCTGTTGGTTCAGTTATTTATCTGGATGAATGTTCCTTTACATTTAAAGATGACGGACAGATAGAAAAACATTTCAGCAGCCAGGTTTTATTTTTAGATGCTCTGCTTCAGTTGGTCAGTATTCACAGGTTAGTCCTCGTTTATCCTTGCTGAGCAGTGTGTTGCTGTCTCTGTGGGCAAAGGGCTGCCTGACCGTCTGCCAGGCTGAGCTAACAGATGAGGGTCCATGGGGCACTGCAATTCTGCAAGGCTTAAAAAGGCCCAAATAAGGCCGGACTGCAACATGTATGCAGGGGGGAGAAGGAGGGCACTAAGTTGGCACAACCCAGCCTCCCACATTCTTTCGCCTCTCTCAAAAGCCTTCTGTCCCACATCACACAGCTACTGTGGGAATAGAAAGAACCTGTGCAGCTTCATAAACTGCACAATAGGCATTGGATAAATGGTTTATACAAAGGGGTTAAACATTACAAAGGTTTTTGACTTTAAATGTAAAGGAACTTGCACGTCAACCAAACATTCTTGATATTAACAAGATAAACAGAATGAAGGCAAGATGCTTTTTAATAAATAATGAAGCCCGCTTTTAAGAAATTGATATGATGTGAAAACTACAGTGTAATGGCTTTCAGCCATTGCAGTTTTGGTGAACTGCATTGCAATGAAAAGAACTGAACACCAGAGATTTGGATCTTGTTCACTAAAATTTCTCTCTGTGCTTTGAGGCCTAGGTAAAGATTAACTCTGGTGTTTTTCTTGGGGCCTCTTTGAAGTGGACTTACTCCAACACAGCCTTATCTTAATTAGAAAGAAATTTGGAGGAGTGTAGAGGCCCTTTGGAAATGAATATGTCCACTCCCCACTTCCCTGAAGGCCACGTTGCTGCAGCTTTAGTTGGACTTCAAGGCACCATAAACTCAGCGTTTGCTTATGCCTTTTTGGGTTTGTATTTACAGTGGAGCTGTGAAGAAGGTATATCATTTTCCTGAGGTTTGAAAGTGTTTTCAAGGGACGCATTCTCTTTAGAAGCTGATGGATGTTAAAGATGAATAATTAATAGAGCTCATTTATGTTTGTGAATGCCATGTAAGGCTGACAAGATTAAATGAAATATATGATTCTTAGGGTATTTGTTTATCTGTTCTAATCTCTGAGTTTTTAATTACTAATTCAATTGCTTTTATGTTTCTATGACTATGATTGAATTTAGACGGATTTGCTAAAACTATGGCAAAGTTTTGACCAACAAGTGATAATAGACAGCCAACATTTTCTTCTTCTGCCTCAGTGGAGGACAGACTTCACAACTCAGAGATCACACATGCAGTGTTTACCGTTGGCAGGAGTGCCACACTGCTGGCTTTAATCCAAACAGTTCAGTGAGGTCCTGTCTCACAAAGGTCACCTGTCTGCTGAAGAATGATGTGGAACACACAGGAAGCGAAAACCCAACTCTGTGGTAGATCTCAAGAAGACTTTTTAAATCTAACTCCATTTAAGATTCTTTTACCAGTTAATATAATAGAAAAGTAGCCTTTCTTGTGGCATTAAACACGCTGTGTTCTGCAGACAATAAAAGGTTTTCCCTAATAATTTGGGATGAAACTTTAATGAGATGCATTATGTATTTTTCAATTATTTAGAATGCTTATTACTTTGCAAAACTTAACCAATATCCAGTTGTGTTGTAAGCTTAGGAGTTTTTTCAGCTTTACTACATTTTCACCTTAAACGTGACACCACATTCAATTACTCAACCTTTATTTATACAGGTTAGTTAGTTCCCATTGAGCTCGAGGACTCACTTACAAGAGAGACCTGTTTCAAGCAGACAAAGTAGATAAGGAAAAGAGAACAAGAGGGGAGGTAAATAAATTGTATCTCGCACTATGTCCTGGCGGGCACAGTGTGAAAGTTGCAAAAAAAGACCTTGCACATAAACAGCAACATACTAATGACATCATAATACATTTATGCATGAGGAGGCCGACAAAGGCGGTGAGTTGTCCGTGGACACTGCCAGAAAGTTCCATAGTCCTGATAAGAGATGGCACAGTGTCTATCAGCCAGCTCAGCTCTGACACAGGTCCACAGATGTCCTCGGAGGGGAGCAGGGGGAGCAGAGCAGAGCTTCTTATTCACATAACCTCCAGGAGAAATTTAAGATAGTTGCCTATTCAAGGCCAAGCGGGGCTTGACGCAGGCAGTCTCACAATTGCCAGAACCACTGGCAAAACATACTTACCAGTAATTTTCTTCATCATTTTATATTTGAACAAAAAAGTTTAAATAATTTCATCTGGACCATTTTGTTAAGGGAGAAATGTTTTGTCTTCCATCCGGAAGACTTCATCAGTCTGTGGTCTGCCAACCACATACAGGTTTGTAAACTCAATCATCCGGGTATATAACAACAAAAAAGATTAAATCATGTCATCTGGACCAGTTTCTTTAAGTGAGAAACGTTTCGTCTTCCATTCGTAAGACTTCATCAGTCTGCGGCCTGCCAACCAGATCTGTCCCATAAGTAACCTCCATTGCTGTTTCAAGCCTGTGTGTGACCGCAGACTGATGAAGTCTTCCTGATGGAAGACGAAACGTTTCTCACTTAAAGAAACTGGTCCAGATGAAAGATTTAACCGTTTTTGTAGTTATCTACCTGGATGATTGAGCTTACAAACCTTTTTAAATGTTATGTTTGACACATCAGCACCAACATTCTTATCTATAAAACTGTTTTAGTAAAGCATATTGGTGTGGCTAATTATTATTATTGTTTTTAATAAAATAGACTGTCTCATTTCTTTTATACATTACTTGATTTAAAATCTTTTCGACTTCTGGTTCTCTGTCAGGTCAAAAAGCCAAAGGAAAAGACGTAATTTAAGCAAAGTTATAAAGTTACTTATAAATACATTCATCCTTACATATAAGAAGACATCCATGGTGAAAGTGTAAAAGTTTCACTGCTTAAAGAGAAAAGGGAACAAACGCAATTATTGGTCAGCTGGAGGTAACAGATTTACTGACCATAACAACAAGAGTGGAACGGGAAGGAGACTTTTGGCTGAGCTCATTATAAACAACAATAACACTCTGAACTCTCCTGACATTGTCCCTGCACCCTCCTGGCAGTTTTGCCTTTATTCCATTACTTTCACAACGGTTTGGTGTTTAGTGGTTCAGTCATCTAAATCTCTCTACACTCATTCATTATAGCAGTTGCCAGCAGGTCTCGCTATGCAGTTCGGCGAACATATTTGAAGCTTTTATTAACCAGTGCCATTATTTGGACTGTTAGCTATTGCTGTGAAAATGAAAACATGAGAGCGCTGTGTAGTTTCTGTATGAGTCACTTTGTGTGTGTCTCTTCACGTTTTCATGGCAGAGTTTGTGTATCTGTTTGGGTTTGATGCTGTTTTTCTGTCTGTGCTTTCGAGTCTTTATGGTCAAATGGTAGCAGCCATGCCCTCCAGTGTTGTAAATTATAGTCTTTGAATTGAACTTCAAAAGGCGAGGATAAAATAACCGAGTTCAGACAGGAAATGGAGCCCCTTTATCTTAATTAGAAATAAAGCAATTAGATTGCACAAACCCTGTTGCTTTTGCACAAAGGCTTTGCATGCTTCTCGCCTCCCACTGTGGCTAGGACAGAAAATCAAATTCTAAAGGTATCTAAGAACACTAATATGGGGTATTAAATGTCGGTGCCAGATTAAAAACAAAACGCTGCATTCATTTTCATAATACCTTTTGATTAAGTCCTGGTTTGAGTATTTAACTTTTCTTCCGAGTTTTCTTTTGCAGATTGATAAACTCTTATAAGGCATTTCAGGAATATGTTTCACTTTTGTTTGCAGGAGGCAACAAACTAAGGAACCAGCAGTTTAGACTGAACTGGGCTTGGATTTCTTTGGAGAAGGAACACTATGTGGTGGATGAGGAGGTCAAGTTCCTAGAGGTTGTACTGAAACGCCGTGGTTACCTGGGGGAGACTTCATTTGTTGGTAAGCAGACTTTTCCTCAACCTGCTGTTAAGAAAATAAAAAGTTTACTGGTTACATTTAACAACTTTAAGAATTCAAAAATGCTACATTTACACATTACATTTTATTTGACTAAAAATGTTGGACTTTTCAGTTACGAAGCTAAATATTTCTACACTCTGAACAAAGAAAACAACAAAGCCAATATTGTTTGGGAAGTCATTATATTAATAGACAAGCAGGTCCTTTGATATGTTATGGAACAAAAGTAAGGCTTGCCCCAACTTTCAGTAGGGTCATCCAGGTCCTGACCTTTGACCTCCTTTCTCTGGCTAGTGTTTGGGTTCCAATCCCCCAGTTGCAAAGGACAATCCCACAATGATCATGCAGGCGTAAGGCATAAGACTTCTGAAGTCAAGTAACTAAAGGGAGATACATTTTTAAGATTAGATAACGTTTACAGACCAGAACTATCCATCCATCCATCCATTCATCCATAAGATTAGATAACATTTACAGACCAGAACTATCCATCCACCCATCCATCTTACCTGCTTCTTCTTTTTCGGGTTGCAGTGGGGTCACTGGTGTCCATATCCAGCCATCACTGTGCGAGAGGCGGGGGACACCCTGGACAGGTCTCCAGTCCATCACAGGGACACATAGAGACAAATGAGACAAACAACCTTTCACTCTCTCACTCAAACCTAGGGACAAATTAGAGTTACCAATCAGCCTAACATGCATGTTTTTTTTTTTGTCTGTGGGAAGAAACTGGGAGTACCTGGAGAAAACCCATGAATGCATGGAGAGAACATACAAATTTTGGATAAATAAATATACTTTCGTCATCTACTTAAACAAAATAAGCCACTCTGAGGACACGAGAAGATTTTTAACTGGTCTTTTATTTGCAAAAGCAGAGTTCACAACAGGCAAAGGTACATGATTGATTCCTGGTCATGAATATCTGCAACCGGACAGAGAGGCAGGAAGTGTTTTTATAATGCTTATCAGACAGTCACTGGTGACCTCGGTCTAACTGCCAGGTGACTTTACAATGATCTCTGCGGGATAACGTGAGAAAACAAAGTAATACCATTTTTTGATTTACCAGAGCATTGAAATGTTTGAACAATTGTTAATGTATTGGTTAAAAAGTGCTATATTAAGCTGCGAATGCACCGATTTTATTTCCTGGAGAGATCAAGCCTATGGTCTGTTTTTCATTTTTAGTGTGTTCTTAAAGAAATTCAAAGCAGAAGGTTACAGGCGGCTTACATTTACTGTTGTATTAAATCCTTCACTGTACAAAGACTTCTACCAACTAATTAAGTTTTTGTTTCTGAAATTACAAGTGTCAAAACTTTCTATCAAAGGATTTCTCATTACTTTATGTGGCTACGTGTTCACAGCCCCAAGCAGTGACTTTTTGATCATCTGCCACTCGGTTACATTCTGTTAGTTCTAATAAATCTTGTGAAAATATCTTTACTTTTTCATTTCTTGCAAAGATAAATACAGAACAAATCTAAAGATTGTGTTGAGACTCACTACAACTGTATTATATGTACCTGTCATTTTAGACACCAGCACAAGTCTATTAAATTCTCTATAAAACCACATAAATTGACTTTGTTTTTAATTAAAAAGAACCCTTAGCAAAAATTATTTTGACTCAAAAACCTTTTTTTCCTAGCGATCATTGATTCTTGTACTTCAAAACACGTCTTCAATAGTCCCCCTAATGAGAACACAACTTGCAACAAATATTCTGTCTCAGTGAAGTTGTATCTGTCTGTGAAATGTCAAAGCGCAGTCATGATTTTCTCACTCTGACGCACTCTCTGATTCATTCAGGTTTGGAGATGAAAAGCAGAAATCCGATTTGATTAATTGACATAAACTTTCCAGCAGAGCAAGTTGGCAATAGGTGATGAAGAAAAACTTGATACCATATCAGTACATTTTCATGGGGGCTGGGGATATCTCTTCTTGTCCAACCAGGGTGAATCTTTGTCAGAGGATTCCTCCTCTCCGTGGGCAGCTTTTGCCTCACTTGTGAAGCCATACAGTGAGTGTGGCTCCGGTTTGGAGGTTACAGTGAGTCCACCTGCTTTAAACCCTCAGAGTGGCGGCTGTGATCAGGGCCGTTCATTTCAGGCAAATTATTCTTCCTTGGTTCATCACTGCTCTTTGAAGACTGCTGGTCTTTCAAGCCCCATTGAGTGCTACTGTTCTTATCTTAGCACAAATATGCTCAGACATTTCCCCCATCTGCACTTGCATATCATAGTCCAGTTTCATTTTCATCAAAGAGATGAGTCAAAATATTTAAAAATTATCCACTCTGTATACTTCAGTCTGCACACTACTGAAGTGCATACTCACTCTGAGATATTTCAATTTTATTCTTCTTCGTTTCTTCAGTCTCGACCACCTAGCTTGAGTTTTCGTTTTGTATGGCAGTGTGTCAGGATTGCTTTGGGGTGTGCAGCCATATTAATTCTTCTCACTGCCAAAACCCTGATGCATTTTTTGAGGCCAGTTAACAAAGACAATGGAGAGGCTGTGTGACATTTCACTGGCTTCAGCACTCCTGCTCAATATGAATACTGCCAGAGTCACAGCAATGGTGACCATGAGCATCATCAAACAGCTCACATGCTGAAGGTCAGAAAGTGTATGTCTGACTCAGACCACGTCTGCTAACACCAGGCTGGTATACAGTTTATTTCCACCAAGCTTTTTTTTTTTTACTCTGGGAATGGAAACTGCAGCTAAATAATGGAAGACATTGTTGAGTTCAGAACAGTTCTGATTTTACTGGGACTTTGATTGCATCTTTTTTAAAATACCTGCACACATACAGTAAATATCAAGGCTCATGACGAAGAGATGGACATATATAGACATTAAAGTTTCTAGTTTTGTGTATTTCATAAGTTAATCGTTTTCTCCCACATCCTTCTTTAAGGCATTGGCACGAAGGATGATTCTGCAAAAAAGGACAAAGACTTTCGCGGGAAGTCTCAGAAACAGGTGCAGTTCAACCCAGGCCAGACCACAGCCACCTGGAAGGTCAGAATCCTGCCAGACAGCGAGTACGAAGTGTCTGAGATGTTCCAGATTGTCCTGTCTGAACCAGTGATGGCTGCTCTTGAATTTCCAGAGGTCTCTTTCGTGGAGATCCTGGACCCTGGTGATGGTCAGTGATTTTCTTTCTTAAGACTAAAACTCCAATAGTTTGCTAAATTTTAATAAGGTTGAATATGTTTTTAAGTCAAAATAAAATGTGTTGTATATTTTTTACATCCTACTCAGTGCTTATGTTATTCTAAAGTGAATTTAGGGCAAAAATTCTGTTTTTTCTGTTTTTACGTGCATTTTTTCGTTCAGTCAACCTTCAGCCTAATTATTCAGCCTAATTTTCCATGTCTGATATGATTCACCCAATCACCATTTTGCACTGTTTGTTCATTTAAATTTTGGAAAGATTATTGTAAAAAAAAGGATGACTTGTGTTTTAAAAAGTGGAAATGTCACAATTGTAGCCATACAGTACAGAAACAGTAACAAGTTTAAAAGTAAAACATTAAAAACCATAAAAGTGCCATGCTTTTATACAGAAACCATAAAAAAATGATTTAACTGTAACAGGATCAGTTTGTTTTTCAAGGATAAAATAACAGTTAATACATTCTTTAACCCTTATCAAAGTTATTTTATGTCTGGGTTTGATTAGATCTTTCATCTACCTGAGGGCATCAGTGTATCATAAATGCAGTGTTTCTCTGTAAGATAAAATAAATCTGAATAAAAGCAAAATAAACAATACTGAGAACATAATCTGATTAACAGGTTAGTACATAAACAATAAAACAAAATACGTTTTAAGTGTCAGCCATGACAGTATTGTCTTTTCAGTAGTTTTGAGCAGAGATCTGGTATTAGCTGTTAAAATGACATGCATGGAACATGCATGCATGAAACAGCTCAGACAGAGAAGAAAACTGAGACGAAGCCAAATAAAGCTCTGATAGAGGACATCAAATATGGATCTCAAAGGGTTTTACTATGTAGGAAAGAGGAAATTGTTGTAAACGTTGTATGCTAATGAGCATATTTAACTGAAACTTGTTTTTGAAAATGCTGATTCCTGAAGGACAATAAAAATATTGCCAGCTGTCTTATGTTAAGATCTAAAATTTTATGTTTTCTCATGCTTTAAGCAAGAATTATCATCCTACAGACAAGCCCATTATAATATAATTACACTGCTTTTAGTTAAAAAATTTTTAAAACAAATTGTAGCCGCTCAAGGTCAAATAAACTCTGAAGGCTTATAAAAAATGGATGCTGCTATTCTATTTTCTGAGAACAGAAAAATAGAATAGCCCATGGTATTATTCAGACAGGGAACAAATAAATGTTAAAAATAAGATATATGGAGTAGCTTTAATGTCCTCTGCATTATAAAGGCACATTATGCTAACTCACCAACACTTTGTTAATGTGGCCATCCATGATGCTCACTGAACAGAATACAAAACGGAAAAATGAGCTCTGTGGATTTCATGGATGAAATGTTCCAAACTCATTACCTTTTTGAATGTCATACAAAGCTCGAGAAGGAGAAAAAGAGATGAAGAGCCACCAGTGAAACATCTGAGGAACAGACGAAGTGACTCAACATTTCCCAGCCTAAAAAAAAAACAGAATTAAAACACTTTGTTGTTCAAGCAAATTAATGCAGGTGACTAGAAAAACTAACTGAGTGATATATATCCCTTATCCCTGTGCGGTGCAAAACTTGCAAAATAAGAGGGGTCTCAATGCTCTATATCAGGGCTATTCAACAAAACTGCTCAATGGTCCACAGTTTCTGAAAGTCAACAGCTCAGGGGCCGGAAAGTCAGTGATTAAAGTCATTAGGTAAATAAACCAAGTTTAATAATGATCTGTTATCTTTTAAATTTGTTTATTTTATTGCATTGAGTCATAAATGCAATAAACAAAACCCAAACCCAGAACCACACGTGTCTTATATATATATATATATATATATATATATATATATATATATATATATCTATTACGAAGTGGGCCGAATTGAAGTCACCCGAGGGCCAGAAATGGCCCGCACGCCGCCAGTTGAATAGCCCTGCTCTATATATTTATTTTATGTTCTAAATGTTTTCTATATTCACTTGTGTTCTATTTGCATCCCATATGAAAGACACATCTTAGTACCAGAAGTCAGGTAAAGTTTAACATTGACCGTTTTCCCCTACATAACAGAATCCATGGTGTATATACCGTCAGCTGTGTACAACATAGAGGAGGACATCGGTGAGCTGCTTATTCCTGTTCGCAGGAGTGGCGATGTCAGCCAAGAGCTCATGGTTATATGCTACACCCAGCAAGGTAACACAATTCCCATCAATATCAGTATAAATTGCTGTGCTAAACTGTTTCTGGAGTGAGTTACTCCTTTTTTGTTTGTCTAATACAAGCCTTTATTTAAGACTGCTCTTTTAGGCTACATTTGAATAACTGGCATCTTAAAAGCAAAAACATTCCACTTTCTTGACAAGATAAACAGAGTTAAACTCCTTATGGTGAAAAAAGTTTTTTAATGTAGCAACAAAAAGGTTAAGTCATGTCATCTGGACCAGTTTTTTTAAAGTGAGAAACGTTTCTTTTCTCATCCGGAAGTCTTCGTCAGTCAGGCTGTTTATGTGAATAGCAAGTTGGCCATCTGGCCTAAAACAGTTGATTGTTATAGATAAAGATTGATTGTTTTGGACGGGTGGGCCCTGTTTGTTTCTGAGATTCCACAGGAGGCTGGATTGAAACACAGCAGTGAAGACTACCTGTGGGACAGATCTGGTTGGCAGGCCACAGATTGATGAAATCTTCCGGATGGGAGACAAAACGTTTCTCACTTATAGAAACTGGTCCAGATGACAATTTAGCCTTTTTTGTTGTTATTTACCTGGATGATTGAGCCTACAAACCTTTTTTTATGTAACTTATTTTTGGTCTTTGCAGTTTCGGCCACAGGCACAGTCCCTACCACGGTGCTCTCCTACTCTGATTACATCTCCAGGCCTGAGGACCATCACAGCATCCTGCGCTTTGACAAGGGAGAGATAGAGAAATCCTGTCGGATAGTGATAATTGATGATTCCCTGTGTGAAGATGAGGAAAGCTTCAATGTCACCCTCAGCATGCCCATGGGGGGCCGCCTGGGCTCAGAGTTCCCCACTGCCAAAATCATAATCATTCCCGATATGGATGATGGTAAGATGTCATTTTACTGATTGTAAGTATGCATTCAAATGCAATCAGACTAACAAATTATAGGGCTTTGATTGTTCAAAGACATTTTAGCATATTTTGTTTTATTCTTTTCACTTTCAGTTCTGATTTAAGACCCAGGAAACCGCTACTTTTTTTACTTTTACTACCGTACTAATTAGTCTTTGTGTTCCTCAAAGGCAGTTTTTACCAGATTAGAGTTTAAAAATATTTGGATTACAATTTTGACATCAAAATTTAAAACAGTTTTGGAAAAGGTTTTATAAATGTGATACTTTCTAAATTCAGCTATACCGTAGGCAGTGAATATAAAGGCAGAAACCACCTTGGAGTGAATGGTAATGTGTTTATGAGATTTTACCATGTGGGTGCGTTTTTATTTAAACACCACGACTCCAAGAGAAAAGCTTTGGGTATGCAGCCCTACTTTTTGAAGGCAAAGAATTTATCTCATATCTGCAGACTCATACAGGAGGGCTGATAGTCTCCCACTTCTTCCTGATGTCTCTTTGTTCCCCAACACCTGACGGCCTTATCCTTATCACATTGAGAATCTCCATAAGCGCTGCTGCAAAGTCAAGACTCTATGTTTGCAGGCTAGAAGTTGTGAAGATGAAAAGTCCATTATGATTATGCAACTTTTTTGTTTGTTAAAATCCAACTACATATTGATAATTGAAGGGACAATGAAGCACCCTGTCTTAAAATTGTTTTCTGAAAACAAAACATTAATTACTGGAGACTTACTGAGGCACCTATATTTCCTCTGTGTAATGATGTTCTGCATGACAAGCACGTATTTATTCTTTATATTCACAATACAGTAGTCTCTCGTTTATCGCGGTGGATCCGTACCCTGAAGCCCTGGGATAAGTGAATAATAGGAATGATGCATGTACAGTACTGAAACAAACCACGATAGAGCGAGTCCACAAAAAAAATGAACCGCGAAGTAGCGAGGGACTACTGTAGTCCTAATGTTTGCACCTTTGACCGCAGCATTGCAACTTTTGAAACAATAGCTGATTGTTTTTCAAAAGTTTAGCAAAACAAAAAAATATTTGCCTATTCATATCCCCAAGAAAAATATAACATTTCTTGCAATTTCCTCCATTTGGCTTGTAGCCAAATCTTCTTTTAGGCTTCAGAATAAGGTATCAATTCTGTTTTACACTCTTCAAGTGTACGCATTTAAGCAGTTCCGAAATGTACGATTTGAAAATGTGTAACCTGAGAGTAAACAGACAACCTTTGACCCCAAACTGTTCCTGAATGAAGACTGTCTGAACAGCTGCTGAGACTCACCTGTCAGCTCCTGCACCATCCAGGCGTCTTTACAAAGAAATATGTTTCCATTGCTACTATTAAATTACGTTCTCTTGGGTTTGTTGAAGCCTTGGACTTTAACACTGTCACTCATGGATGTCTGTAACTGCCATGTGTAATGAAGACATAGTAGACAGACTTTTTGCCTTAGCTCTAAATGAACACTGGGATGGCTTAAAATCAAGTGAAATGATAAATAAAACATGTAAGTGTAGGGAAGTCTTCCAAGGTTAACAAACACCTAACTTTAAGTTTTACTTTGAAAATAAACTCAGATAAACAAAGCAAAAGATTAATGGTTATTGAAACTAAATGGTTGCAGTAAAGTTTATTTTTATTGATGACTATAGGAAGAAACCATTAGGAAGCTGTGGAGGATAAATTCCTTGCTTCATAGAGCTGGTCTGTGTATGTTTGTGGTGTTGCAGCGGCTTTCGCTATTTATTTGCCCGAGTAATCCTTTTTTATTAGCTGAAAGGTCAAATCATTTATGAGAAAAATAAAACATATTTTCACTCAATTGCTTGAACAGTTCTTGTTATGTATTTGCTCAGAGAATCACTGATGATAGATGGCTTAGATCAGTAAGGAATTAACTCAACTCTTTGACAATCAGCAATAATGTTTATTTACTCGTTATTTGGATGATTAACTGTAGAATTTAACGGTGAATTTCATGAGGATTCATTGCCACCGTTGTTTAGTGGCTGTGTTTTTTGCCTTTCAGAGTTTTTCAGCAACAGGGGACTGAGTTCAGTGTATAGTTGGCACATTGTATCAGTCTCTGTCAGGGTTTATTCAGTCTGCGTTGGTTTCCTTACACATTTCAATGGCATACATGCTAAATTGACCAGATTTACGAGTGTGTTGTCCTTTTCAAGGACTAGCAACCTGTCTAGGTTGCGCCCCGCCTCTCAGTCAGTGTCAGCTCTGATAGACTCCAATCCTTCATGACCCTAGATAGGGTGAAGTTGATAAAGAAAATGGAATAATCTAGTTGAAACATGAAGAGGGGGGAAGAAATAAGATGATGTCAACCACTTCATGTCTTCCCTAAAGGAGATGATAATGAAAAAGCTTGAGCATTGATGCTGAAGTAAATGGTAAACAGCTCTGAGGCAAGAAAAACAAGATTGATCTCCTGTCTGAAAGGGTAGAGAGGCAGCAGGAGATTCATTACCACTTTTAGTTCAGCTGTTCTGGCTAAATTCAAGCGTGTAATCCAGGTTCTGGTCTCTAAATGCATGTACAGATCTAAGGCAAATGGGGGCAACACATCTTTCTTTGTCATCCCGCCTTCAGAATAGCTTTCAAGTGTTGTACTTGCATGTGCAGGAAGAGTCTGTGCCTGGCCAAGCACCTGGCTCTGAGTGTGATGTCTGTAAACTGGAACTCCCCAGGAGGTTCTCAGCAGCTTTGTGGGGTTTTCATCTCAAATGGTTTGCATAAAAAATAAAATCCAACAAACTGCCAGTTTAGCAAAAGGGCATTTTAACAAACATTGTTAGCAATCATACTAAAGTGCAAAACACACATGAAATAAGTCAGGTCAACAATGTACAAATTTTATTTTATGCAAACACCACCTTTTACATGCAAGAAAGTGCAAGAAACCACAAAGTAAAGTGATAAAGGTTTTACATTTGCATTATTGCATTTCTTCCCAACTAAACTGACTTGGAACCATTTTATTAACTAGCACCCGTGCTTTGGAGGAGAAGGTGTGTTTTTCTTCTAGCTAAAACATATATATTTTTTTACTAATTAGCATTCTAAATTATCCAGAAAAGACAGAAATATAATCAGCTTCCAAAATAAACTATGGTCAGAATTCAGTAAACATGCCTCAGGCATCAGCTGCCTCCCTGCTAATTCACTTTAAATAAAGCGACATCTTCAATTGCTAAATTCAATTCTGGGTTTGTTACTTCGATTTATTAGCCCAGCCAGCCAATCAAATCAACTGACAGAATAGGCTGTGGCTCAGGAGAAAAACTGTTTGCCTTCCAGTTGAATAGTTAGTGGTTTGATCCAGGCTTCTTTCCCCATATGGACAAGACACTGAGTCCCAAGTTTGCCCTGATCTGCATATTGGTATGTGTGCACACATCTTTTTTCCTGTAGTCCTCTAAAATGGATGTTAAATTATGCTTGCCCGTTTTTCCTGTAAGAGAAAATCATATGGTGCTTAAAAACAGAACATTTGCAAGCTGTCCAGTCCTTCTACATTATCACGAACAGCTGGAATCCTTAAAGCACCAGCTGTTTTCCCATGTGGCAGACAACACGGAAGCCAAATCCCTGTGATTTCCACCTTGTTGCACTGTGTTTGGAGAAACTTGTTCTTTCTTGCAGAGGTAATTGCTGTTTGATAACTCCTCTGCATCCGGGAAAATGTTTTGGTGGGGTCAGAATGTAAGACATGAAAATGCTTGTACAGCAGGACTTGGCTGGTATATTTATAGTCTTGTGTCACTCGCCTGAAGATTTGATTCTGGTTTGGAAAGTATGATTACAAACTGTTTTAACATGGGTGACACGAATCGAGAGGAAACATGCAAACCCTGTCATTATGTCCCACCTGGATTCCCATTTTTTAAAACGTATTGACAGATGTCCTCAACACTTAGGCAAATAATACTTTAGACTAGTCTTTTGAAGTTCAGATGTTTGTTGCTGTCATCAGATGTTATTTTTGGTTTTAAGAACTGAAAAATGAAGTTGCTTTTAAGTGTTTTGTAGGAGATTATTTTTTTCCCCCTATTGCACAGTTGGCAGCAGAGCATTTGTCAAGGCTCAATTGAATTTCACCATTGAAAAAGCCACTTAGCGCTGTGGGAAATCTGTGCAAAGTTCAAGCAAAATCAAGCCGTCGGAGAAACTTTAAGAGTCCTTAGGGATGTCTGCGTCTTTCCCCATGTCTCGACTTTTATTTTATGTTCACACATATTTAACATAAGAGGTATTTACTTTGCAGCATTAGACTTTTGCAGAACAAAGGATTAGGCACAATGATTTTATCAAAGGAGTTCTTGTGCAGTGCTTTTTTTTCCCCTTGGCATTTATTCATTTTTAAATAAAAAGATTAGTTTTTATTAACTTATTGAAGTCATCAAAATGTTGATTTTCTCATAATTGTAAATAGGTTGAAACACTTGGAAGTTTAGTCTAAATTCCGATAATCTCCACTTCCATCCATGTAACCTTAGATGTGTGTTCTGGTGTCAGAGTTGCTGCTGAGCTCATGGAGGTTGTGGATGGTTTACCTTTCAGTTAATGGGCCTTAGGTCTTTGAAGCTTTTTGTTTGTGTGGTGCAAAAACCTTATCTGATTACTGGACGAGTCCAACAGGGCCCGAGTTCCTGGCGTCCAACTCTTCAGCCTTGTAGATCTGATTACTCCTCCAGGTAGACCCAGTGCAGGCAGCCAAAACCATCTTTGTTTGGTTTCTCTGAGGAGAAATGTTTTGGCAGCTGCAAGCCTATAAGATAGCATTATTGTTGTACCCATATCTTAAGAAAATAAGCGTGAAGGTGTTCCATCCGTTGCTTGCACAACGTTGCAGGGTGGTTTTATTCAATTCTGTGTGTGGGGGGCGCAGTAGTTTGGTGGTCAGTGTTGCGGTCTCATAATCCTGTGGGTTCGAGCTTATGGTACATAATGAAGGGCATCTAGCATAAAAGAAATGCCAAATCTTTCATTGACGTTCTGTTGCTGTGGCCTCTCCTGAAGAAGAGAGCAGCCGAAAGAACAACATAAAATCTTTGTGAACTACCAACTTGCTTAAAATAAATATTTTGTTTCCTTTTTACAATCTTTATTTATTACCAAACCTTTATGACTAAAAAGGCAGCATGTACGCATGCAAATGTCCTTTCAAAACTCACATTATTTGGTAGAATAATTGTATAATGAGGGACAATAACATATTTTTCTGCTTGGCAGCACCATTGACTGACAGCTATTCACCGTCTCTGTCTTTTCTTTCCCCTTTTGACGAGATAACATAATCAACAAAAATGGGTTTGTTTTGCAAATTTATCATTTGGTTCCACATTTTCCATTTTCCCATATAATTTGTGACGAGAAACAAGTACCATTTTGTTGGCACTGAGCTCCATTGTCATGGCAACAGCAACTCTGCCCATAGCCATTGTCATTTGCTCTATTTATTCACTGTTTGGTCACAGCTGCTTTTAAAAACCGCAATGTTTTTACAGTTAAGTTGTATCTCATTAGTGATCACAAAGAAATATTCACTAATTTACAAGAACGTGTCCTTTTGAATGCCAGTGTTCTGATTTTACTAGCAGCAACCCACACACGCCAAAGCAAACAAACAGAGAAGTCCACAATCTAGCAACCATCTCATAAGCTTCATGACATGTTGGACAGCAGTGAAAGGAGTGTTGCACTTGAAGAGTTAAAATCACAGCAGGTGAGTTTGGCTGCAGTGGAATCTCAGCTCATAGAAACACTAATTGCAGTCAGACAGGCCTGGGCTGGCACTTCAAGCCTTACATCCCCCAGACCTCCTGTCAGGCATCCTGTCTGCCTCTCAGACCCATCACTATCAAAGTCAGCACAACCAACAGGCTCATCCAGAACAGAACTAGGAAATTCTGTTTTGCCCCAAGGTTTCCTTTTGTTTAATAAACTTTGTTGCAGCCTAAAATATACTTCCAAAACATCATGGCAGTAAAAATAGTTAAGGTCCTCAATTATAGTGTTGAATACCTACCTACTGTAAATCTGACGGAAGAGGTCCCTTGGTTCTCTTGTAATTACATATACGCTAACAGAGTATGCTAGTCATTAAATATTCAAGTGTTCAATTACATCATACATTCAATTTTATTGTTGTAAGTGGGTTATGAACTCAGTGCTCCTGTATTTTGTCTTTTATTTATTTATTTATTTCCATCTGTTGTCTGTTGATGTTTCCAGATCCTGTTTTCTACTTTGGAAGCACAGAATACCATGTGGATGAGAGTGATGGCTTTGTGGAAGTGCAGGTGTGGAGGACAGGGACTGATCTTTCCAAAGGAGGAACTGTCACAGCGCGCTCCAAAAAGACAGATCCTGTCTCTGCTGAGGGTATATGTCTCTGATAAACGTCCTTCTCTGACAGCTTCAGCTCATTCATGCTTAAATAAATGTAAACTAAACAAAACAATGGACTTAAGTCATCAACCTGTCAGGCTTTGTTTTTCTGAGCTCACCTGCACAAGAAGATTTCCATTATGGATATGTTGTGTGGATGGCCTGGGGAATGTAAACATTTTTTTAGGTTGACAGGAGAAAAGGCCAGGGTTTCTTAGTTCAGAACTTGTCTGAAAAGTGCTGGATATACACATTGTTGTGAAGATAATGCTATACTGAGTGGAAAACTGAGTTTATAGGAAGCATACTGATTCTTCTGCATTTTTGAGACCAAGTCAGATTGCTCTTTCCTCAAGTCTTCCCTATAGCTTCTATTATCTCTTACCCCCAGGCAGTCATCTTCCTTTTCACAGATTCTTAACAACTCTTCTCCTACCTGCATTACAACTGTAAAGGCAACTAGCTCCTTATTATATGCAAGATGATAGAAATCCAAGCTCATATATTTGGCTGATAAATTTTGGGGAAAAGGGCCTGCAGGCAAAGGTCCAGGTTTCATAACAAAGGCTCTTTAAAGAGTGGCAAAAAAAAACAAAAAAAACAGGAGCTGGACATCAGAGAGATCGCCAGCTCATGGATATCTAGCTTCATTCATGAATTTATTCATAACTTTCAACCATGTGACAAAGTACTTTGTCGTCATGCAGGGTAAGGCATTTCATCTTTCACCTTTAATGACATTTGCAAACTAGTAATCTATGAAAGGCCAGTATTAACACTGAAATATGTTGTTTGAAACATGTCTTATCTATTCTTTGTTGGTGGGCAGCTGGTGTGGATTATATGGGGATCAGCCGGAATCTGGACTTTGCACCAGGGGTCACCATGCAGACGTTCCGCGTGACCATTCTGGATGATCTAGGTCAGCCGGTGCTGGAAGGACCAGAGAAGTTTGAACTTGTACTACGAATGCCCATGAATGGGATCCTCGGGGAGCCAAGCAAGACTGTCATCATCATCAATGACTCTGTTTCTGACCGTGAGTAAAAATTATGACAGTTGTCAAAGTTTACTGAAATAATTACACAGATGCTACTAGTTCTCTTTCTAATTTTTGCATTCAACTATTTTGTTTTAGTGCCAAAGGTGCAGTTCCGTCATGCTGTGCATGTAGGAAATGAAAATGCAGGACAGATCTCAGCTACTGTGTATCGTAGCGGCGATATCAGCTACAAGTCTACAGTTCGCTGTTACAGCCGACAGGGAACAGCTCAGGTCATGATGGACTTCAATGAGAGGCCAAACACAGATGCCTCCATTATCACCTTCTTACCAGGTAGTGCAATAAAATCTAACAAATCCTCTTGTGTTGTTTGTGCAACTATACCAATATCCAATAGGACATGTGCAAAGCTCAGTTTCAACATGTCATGTCTTTTTATTTCTTCAGGAGAAAGTGAAAAACCATGTTTACTCATGCTGGTTGATGACACAATACATGAGGAAGACGAAGAGCTTCGTCTTGTGTTGGGAAGCCCCAGGAGTACTTCTCCTTTTGGAGCATCTATTGGGAAGCAGAATGAAACACTCATTAAGATAAATGATGATTCAGACAGTAAGAATGCTTCGCTTTCTTAAGTAGCTCTTCTTAAAATGATTGCGAGGAGAATTTTAGTTAAACTTTACTGAATTTATATTAGATCTGATTGTAATATTTAAATAGTGGCCACAGATTCAGAGTTGTAACGTTTTTGGCTGTAATATCTGGTATCTTTGTAACATGACAGTTTACAACTCCAACAAAACAAAATGCTTTCACAGAGCCCATTATTAGTTTTGGAGAGACCAACCTGAGTGTGAATGAACCAAAGGAAAAGGGTCAAATCTCTGTGGTGAAGATCCCCGTGTTGCGAGTTGGAGACGCCTCCAAAGTCTCTGTTGTTCGAGTTCACACCAAAGATGGATCTGCTACCTCCGGGGAGGACTACCATCCAATTTCCGAGGGTAAATATTATTCTCAGCTTCTTTTATCAGGAAACCGGCCGAGTGGATTTTGCTGGGAAATATTTGTCAAATTTCTCTCCTTTCTCCTGCAGAAATAGTGTTCAAACAGGGTGACGCAGAGCACTATGTGGAGGTGGAGGTTTTATATGATGGTGTCAGAGAAATGAGAGAGGCCTTCACTGTCCATCTTAAGCCTGATGAGAACATGGTGGCAGAAACAAAGGTGAAGTTTAACTGCCATAGGTATCACTTATTTATTTCCCTGATTTTTTTTTTTAACAGCTCTTCTTGGTCTATCAGCAGATGAGCAAAATCATTATTTATATTGAAGAGTCCGACAGCATGGCAGATGTCACATTTCCTTCTACACCCAGAGTGGTTTCTCTGTATCATTATGATAACATCAAAACGAGTGAGGACTCTCTGCCTGTGGCTGGATACCCGGTCGTCTGTGTCACTGTATGTCCTAACTAATTATTAAACCACAAACCAACATTTAGCTCCATTCTTGGTTACTGTTTTTCTGCATCTGTCTTTCACTTACAAACTCGTTCATTGTTTTTTTTCAGGCATGCAACCCCAAGTACCCAGACTTCTACAAAACCGGCTCTATTTGCTTAAGCGAGAACATCAACAACACTTTGACTCGCTACCGTTGGCTTGTGAGCGCTCCCACAGGTCCAGACGGTGTCACCAGCCTAATGAGGGAAGTTGACTTTGACACTTTCTTCACCTCCTCGAAACTCATAACTTTGGACTCAGTCTATTTCCAAGCTGGTTCTAGGGTCCAGTGCGTTGCAAGGGCTGTGAACTCTAATGCGGATGAAGGTCTAGAACTTAGTAGCCCCATAGTGTCAATCAGCACCGACAAAGGTGAGTTCAACCTGTTTTTATACCATTTAGCCTCAATCTAGCACAAAATAAATTTTCTTTCTTTAGAATTCTTTTGGGAAATTGAATGTTTTGTTTTTATTTATCTTGCACGGTTGCAGGAATGTGTCAGCCTCGTGTTGCAGGCACAGTTGGGGCTGAACCCTTCTCTGCCAAGCTGCGATACAGTGGAGCAGAGGATTCAGAGCACCCCAATCTCATCAAATTAACTGTCACAATGCCTCACATTGATGGTGAGAAAAGCAAATGTTTTGAAAGTGTTTCCTCACTAAACTAAGAAACATTGAGATTTAAAAATATGTTAATCCCATAAATCATGAAAGTGATGGTTTAATATGCCACTTGACATTTCTGCACTTTCTTACCACTGTTTGTTTCCTCCAACAGGAATGCTGCCCGTCGTGTCCACCAGACCCCTTTCCAATTTCGAGCTGACTCTGAGCCTTGATGGGACCCGCGTTGGCCACCATCGCTGCTCCAATTTGTTGGACTACAATGAGGTCAAGACCCGCTACGGCTTTCTTACTGAAGCCACCAAGAATTCTGAGGTAATCGGCAACACGGAACCTTACCAATACGACACTTCGCTGAGGGGATCCGGGACGCTCCGGTTCTACAGAAATCTCAACTTGGAGGCTTGTTTGTGGGAATTCACCAGCTACTATGACATGTCAGAGCTCCTTAGTGACTGTGGAGGTACCATTGGGACTGACGGACAGGTAAGAAGTTCTACATTTGAGCTTCAGCTCACATTTGATCCCCTTTTTTTTCCCATTTCGAGATTGGAACTGCAACAAACCAATAAAAACCCATGTCTTCCCTTAGGGGTAGGAATGTAGAATCAGTGGTTATTAAACTCTTTCCATAAAAGTCTTTCCATTTTCATTCCCGTGTTGCATGCCAACTTGTTTTTTCCCCTAAAACATTCTCAAGCACCAATGTCTCTAAAGACACTGTCTATATTTAGGTGCAGACTCAGGTTATGTATGTAATGTCTAATCCAACACTTTATCGGTTCAATTTCTCATAGGAAAGGTGTTTTGTCTTGTCAGAGTGGCAAGTCAATAGCTAAAATCCTTATTTGTCTGTTTTGCCCATGCACAACATCCTTTTTGAAGCAGTAAATGTTATACCAGTGCTGGAGGGAGGAGAAATCTTAACTCTCCCTCCGGCCTCCTGGCACACATGCCTTACAGCCCTCAACATTTGCATTCACCTTGGAAACTTGTCCTTAGTTCACACTGAGTTAATTAAGGTATAAAGTTGATAAAGAAGGTCCAGAAGAATTCATGAGGGTGCATCATGGAGAAAACTTTAACTGCAGTCTCCGCTGAGAATTATTAATTCAATCCTAAAGCACAGCGGAATATATTTTTCTTCTGTCTGCAGGAGTGTTCATGTATATTGATTTTCTATTATAATCAGAGATTCTCATTTTACATAGCTTCAGGTGTATTTTAATAACAAAGGCCTCAGTCAGGTGAAAAAAGTCTTTCTCGACAAGTAGAAATCTGTCGCTTTTAACAACAAAATGTAAGAAAGAATAAACCTGCCTTGACAAGTAGCTAGTCTGCTGCTAATTAAACAAACTCTGTTTCAGCCAAACCTCTACTGCACAATAAATGATGAACATGCCGAATTTCTTTTTCTTGATTAATTTACTACCACAATGATATTTTGGTTCAAATAATTTGATTTAATAATGATTAGGCTGGAAGTTTTTCTCAGCCTGCTCAAAAATATATAAAAAAACAACGAATTTCCACGGGTTCAGATTCAGCATCTGAAAGACTGGATCAACAGAAAAAGGAACAGCTTTTGTTTGTGAGTGCCCTGTGACCCAAGTGCTTCTCTAAGTGGGTAGGCCGGCTGATTGGAGACAGCTCAGTGCTGTCCAAGACTAGTGTCATGTCACGGTGCAAGTCTTCGTGCCCAGCTTAACAAGACCACAGGAATCTATTAAAGCCCAGCAGGCTGTGTCAGAAGGCCATTCAGCAAATCATTTGCCTCAGCTCTCAGTGCCCAGAGGCGAAGGCACGTCTCCACATGAACACAAAGCTAGTGCAGGCAGGTATTTCTGTCAGGTCAGAGGAAAGTGCAGATACCAAAGTGCTCCTTCTGATGACTTGGACCATTTTAAGACAGAATGAAACATTTATTACAAGACACACAACGTTTAATTAACAGAATATGGTTGTTCGGTAAATATACAGTATTTCATTTGTAACTGTAGGAAGCCATGAGTTTTATGCAGAATACACTAAAAACTTTACAGCAAGAGATCACTAAGAGAATCTAGTGTGACTAAGTTCACTCAAATGTAATATTTTGGCCTAATCTGTTGATTTGGTAGAGCAATATTCAAACATAAAACATACACAATACTAGTTTATGGTTCTTTATTTTGTGTATTAAGTCATGGTATTCATATTGCATCTACAATATTTTCATTCTTTTGTCCTACATTTGATAGCAACAAATTAGATTAATAAAATCAGTTTGAACTGAATTCATGCGTTATCCTGTTTTCATTGCAGGTGCTGAATCTGGTCCAGTCCTATGTGACCCTCCGGGTCCCACTGCATGTGTCCTATGTCTTTCACTCCCCTGTGGGAGCAGGAGGTTGGCAGCACTTTGACTTGCAGTCAGAGTTGAGGCTCACTTTTGTGTACGACACTGCCATCTTATGGAGGGATGGAATCGGTAGTCCGGCAGAGGCTGAACTGCAAGGCAAGTCGTGGTTCAGTTGGGTGTTTTTATATTTTTATTTTATTTATTTACCGAGTCACCGTATTTTAATGGTCTGCTACTGTCTTTGTAGGTGCTCTGTACCCATCCAGCATGCGTATAAATGTCCAGGGACAACTGGTGGTTAACTTCCGCACAGAGGCTCGATTCAGAGGCCTGTTTGTGCTCAATCACCCAGGTACCGTATGTCACATTGAAGAAGTGGAGTCTAAAATAAATGTTATACATGATTTTCTTGTATTGTGTACCATCATATCAATCTTAGGGACTGAAACAACTCTGACCAAATACAATTAAATGCATGCAAAATGTTGAAGTGCAGATGTGTCACTATTTTTTTTTTTTTCTTTTCTTGTCAGCTTCATTGCTCACGTCCATGGTCATGTGTTCGGACCACACTGGTTTAACCTTTAACCTCAGTCTTGTTAGGAGTGAGCCAACCTACAGCCAGCCTATTCAGCAGTGGACATTCATCTCTGATTTAGCAGTGAGGAATCCTATATTTTCTTACAAGGAATAGATGAAATATTTTAGTTTTTGTTTTGTTTTTGTGACCGGTCCTTTAACTTAATTTCCTCTGTCAGGTGCGGGATTATTCAGGTATATACACAGTGAAACTGATCCCCTGTACTTCCCCTCCAAACCTGGAGTACTCCATCCCTCCCATCTGCAATCCCAGAGAGCCGCTCACCTTTGACCTGGATATTCGCTTTCAGCAGGTAATTTTTCTGTATCAGAAAATGTAAATATGGTAGGGGATGGTTGTGCTTCGTTAAACCCAGTTTGTTATCAAGACCTGCAAAATATTTGTTTTTAATGGAGACTCTGCTTCTATGATAATTTGGAACATTCTGGGCAACCATGATTCATAAACCCCCTGTGAGTCCACGCCATGTGACAGAGCCTGACAAGCATCTGTATCCAGTTTATTTAATTTAACAAAGAAGTCTGTTCATACCAGAGGAGGCTGGGGAGAGAGAGGAGATGAGCTGCATCTAAACTAGACTAATAAAGCAGGAAACATGCAGCAAGCACAAAGCAAACAGATAAAAACCCCAAACAACCAGACAGCGACGAGCTACAAGTAGCTGTGTTCTTTGAAAACTAGTTTCTCATCAACATTTCTGCTTTCACTTGTATTGTGCTTATTTATGAGCTAATTAAATATTTATGCATCCAAGCATCAAATAGATATTTGGAGTTATAGTAAAACGAAAAGATATTTGGAGTTATAGTAAAATTCCTCCAACCATCCATCCATTGTTTTTAACTTGTTTTCTCTTTCCAGGCCGCAGGCAGTCTCATGGCAAAATTGAGAAATATAAATAGTTTTACTTCTGATAAGTTACTTCTAGCTTAAATAGGTGTTTTGAAATGTCATCAAACCATCACATACAACCAAAAAGAATTAGACCATTCTAAAACAAATGTTTTTTTCTGTTTCTCTTCTTTGATTATTATAACTTTATCAGTGTGTTTGTTTAAGGTTTCATTGCAGAATTTGAACTGTTTGTAGGTAATCATGATCTGTATGTAATTAGCCCCACGAGACTTTTTGCCTTGCTTTATATCAAAATATTGCAGCTTTGCCTCTGCTAAAAGGTAAAGCTGTGATATATATATATATATATATATATATATATATTTTTTTTTTATTTTTTTTTTTTTATTTTTTTTTGTGCCCAATTCTGTGTTTACATGTTCTCTGTAGAGTTAGCAAATTATGTGGAACCAGTGGATGAATGTGAATGAAGCTCTCAGAACCTGATCATTGGGTTGACATTTACACACAGGACCACAAGTTTTGAGAATGGCATGCATTTTGGTTTTCACAAAGTTTGCAGCCTCAGTTTTTTTTAGAACATTTTGTCAGATGTTTATGATAGTACAATTATAAGCATTCCATATATATTTTTTAAACCAACTTTTTATTAACAAATACATCCTGTTTAACCGAAGACTTCATATTTACAGTGTTGACCCTTCTTCCTTAAGACTTATACAGTTCACCTCTGCATGCTGGATATCAGCTTCTATTCTTGAGTGATGGTAATCCATCCTTGCCTAATCAGTGCTTGGAGTTAATCAGAACTTCTAGTTTTTGTTTGTCCAGACAGTATTGAGGATTGATCATAGGTTCTCAATGGGACTGAGATCTGGGGAGTTTCCGGGCCGTGGACCCAAAATGTCAAAGTTTTGTTCACCGAGTCACTTTGTTATCACTTTCATCCTGTGACATGGTGCTCCATCGTGCTGGAAAAAAAACATTGTTCTCCAAAGTGCTACTGGATTATTGGGAGAAGTTGCATTTGGAGGATGTTTTGATACCATTCTTTATTCGGGGCAGTGTTCTTAGTTGAAATTGGAGCGAACCCACTCCCCTGGATGAAAAGCAACCCCACACACAAATGGTCTCAGGAGGCTTCATTGTTGACATGACACAGGACTCGTGGTAGCACTCACCTTTTCTCCTCCTGACAGTCATTTTTATAGATGTCCCAAGCATTCTGAGGGGTGTTTCATCAGAGAAAATAACTTCACCCCAATCTTCTGCAGCCCAATCCCTATACTTCCTGCAGAATAGTCTGCCCTTGGTGTTTTTCTTGGAGAGAAGTGGATACTTTGCTGCCCTTCTTGACACCAAGCCATCCTCCAAAAAGCTTAATCTCACTGTGCGTTCAGATCCTCTCATAACTGCCCTCTGCCGTTCCTGAGCACGCTCTGCACTGGTGGTGACTCGATAGCTGCATCCTCTTAATGAGACAGACCTTATTATTGCTTGACTTTCACGTGTGCCCCGAAGCCTTCTTCACTGTAATGAACCACTCTCCTTGAAGTCCTTGATGATTTGGTAGCAGTGTCCCTGAAATTTATCTGATCACTCTTCACAAATAGAGTTAATACAAATTGCCACCATAAATACTGAGGCAGAAAACTGTGAAAATATTATTGCTGTTCTCAAAACTTTTGGCCACGACTGTACATCATGATTGCATTTAGAATTCAACTTCACCACCACAGCTAAGCTGAGAGTTATTTAAAGCACATAAAGGCTTTACACATGGCAATAGATACAATATTGTTAATATTGTTCTAGAATTGCGCCGCTCAAGATGGCTGCATGTTGGAGCAGCTCTGTTACTTTCATTCTGAGATTTTGCTTTTGGAAACTTTATTTTCTCTTTTTCTGGATGTAAATCACATTTTTTTGGATGATGGTTTCCTCTGGTATCAGATGCTGCGCAGCTGGAAGGATTTTTACTGAAACTTTTTTAGTTTTGGACATTTGTTATGATGCGTAACCAAGGCAACAAGGCAGTTTTCTACAACCAACAGCAGCTGATTAACATCTCAAAAGCTCAAATAATATCTCAACTACAGCCCCAAATCTCAAGTGAGTTGAAAAGGATGTTCCGTGGACGCATTCTCATCTACCTGCCGGCTGTGCTTGAGTGCCTGACCGCTGAGATCCTGGAACTAGCAGGAAACACGGCTCATGATAGCGGAAGGACAGGATCGTCTTTCGGCACCTACAGCTGGCTGTCCGCAGCGACGAGGAGCTCGGCAGACTGCTGGGAGGAGTGGCCATCGCTCTAGGAGGAGTTCTGCCCAGCATTTGGGCGGTTCTACAGCCTGAGGGAAACCGAGAGGCCAGCCGAGTCTGGGTGGACGGATCGGACGGCATCTGCAGCCAGTTTCTTAGGATCCACTGTGGGATGGACCTTTACAAGAGATCCTTCCTGTCTACAGCCATCAGTATCTATAACATCTCTTAATGAAATGAGGATAATGAGTTACAACAACAAATAATTTCCCTCTGGGATTAATAAAGTATTTTTGAATTGAATTGAATTGAATATTAGAAGAACATTTATATCATTTACAAGGTTTGACTGAAACAGTTTCTCAACATAAGAGGATTATAGTATAATCTCTAGTCTGAAAGGCAGCAGGTGATGTGCATTCCTCCATTCCTCTTTGGCTCACACCTTTAGATCTATCTATCTATCTATCTATCTATCTATCTATCTATCTATCTATC